GACATCTCAGCCACTCCGACTGGCCCCACCTGACTAGTAACCTCGCCCCACCAATCACTTGCTCTATCCCTAAACATACAAAAAGCAAACGTAACTTTTGCTGCATCAGGGCAGGAACACGTGCATTGGGCCTTCTCGATATCCTCTATTAAGCGTCGACTGACAACGGGGTCCCTGGCCCCAGAAAACTCTGGTGCTCCACATGCTTTGAACTCCCAGAACGAGGGAGTTCGAGCCCATATCTGGCCTACAACAATCTCAGTTCGGAGTGATCTAAGTCTCTCCTCAATGATCTCCATAATGCCCTCCTTAACCGTCCCAAAAATGACTGGGTTCGCGTCAAGGATGCCCATGGTAACCTCGGCTGCAATGAGCTCGTGCAGCCTCTCATATATGACATCAGTATTATCTCTTGATCCTGCCCCAGATCTAGACCCTGACCCTAATCCTCCTACTCCAAATCATGTCACCACCATAATGAACTGAAAAGTCATAGAACATAATGATTAGGATGCCCACAACAAATACTTTCCGTACCGGTCCCCCTTAGAGTTCCCAAGTGCACCATGGGTTTGGGTACAGGTCCTGTGCTTCCAGTAGTACGGGCCGAAGACTACCTTCCACACCTACCCGTACCTTCCGCCAAGGTACCACCTGCTAACTCCAACTCGACCCTATTATCTCAATCATTGGATATATCAAATCCTAGGCAACCTTAAGATTTGTCCTACTCATATCAATCAAACCAGTCATAACAGGTTGCCTTTATGCATGCAAATTGTACACAGAAAAGGAACAAATAGACTTTCGAATAAAAGATTCTACCCCAGAGCCACAACCAAACAAGGAACAGGAAATAAGACCAAATCAATCATTTCCAGGCTATAAGCTCTTAACCATGTACAATTTTAAAACATACACATAGCAATTTCCCCATATTCACATAGCTCTAACAATAGCATAACATGGCTAGCATACTAGGAACTCACTTACTTGGCTCGGTTGATCACACGCGTTGCACTCTCATCTCTTATTTATTATTATTTTTTTAAAACTCTTACTTTATTTGAAAACAACTTTACCATTTCCTTAGTTTGAGTCCCGACACACCCAGAGGTGTGCCCGAATCTCTCAAACCAAGGCTCTGATACCAACTTGTAACAACCTAAATTTTACAACGAAATTTTTTCATTTTTAAATAATAAACATACTTACATCAATCATAGATTTCATCATAAATGTTTTCAAATCCGCTTTTAATATAACTTGTTTAAAACATCAGAGTGTCCCAAAACGTAGTAGTAAAAGAGAGGTAGAGTGCACGCCGCGCCATCACGCCTTGCCCTTGCCCTTGGGCTCAAATGTACCTGAAACAAATCATCAAATGATAAGCTTGAAAGGTTAGTGGGTTTCCCCAGAGCACACCCACACATAAAGCATACAACATATCATATGAGCTAATAAGCTATATAGAACTTGTAAACCATGCATGCCAAAAACATAAGGAAGCCCTGGAAACCCTCTAGGGTCTTACACCGGGTTCCATAGGTAACCGCACACGATCTTAGACCAATGCCTCGGGAACCCCCTAATGTCTTTGAACTAGGATGCCAAGGAAACCCTCTAAGGTCTTACACCTAAGTGCCTCGGGAACCCCCCTGAGGTCTTTGACCTAGGATGCTAAGGAAACCCTCCAAGGTCTTACACCTAAGTGCCTCGGGAACCCCCCGAGGCCTTCCTTGCAAACATGAAATCACATAGCATATCAAACACAAAATGAGTAACATGTATATCATAATCACATAATGGGCTATCCTTGGTGCCTTCGACCCATTGGTGTGGTGAGGAGACTCAACTCCGTATGCCGAATACCAAAGCTGCTCTCCTATGAATCTGAAATCTCGCAGACTGGATGATAGTATATATTAATTAACGTTAGATCCTTAAATTAATCAAAAGGGCAAGAACCCAAGTCCCACACTATTCATGCGGCCCAACTATTCTTTCATTAATAATGGGTCCAAAGTCCAAGTCCAAATTTACTAATAGGCCTCTTGGCCCATTAAGGCCCACCCAAAAGTCCATGGCCCAAATCCAGAATTATACACCATAATTCACAAAGTTCAGTTGGCCTATTAACCAAGATGAGGCCCAAAAGCTCCTCAGCCCAAAACAGAAACAACCCAAACTGCCATGCGTATGCTCAACGTACCTTTCTGGTACGTGCAGCGTACTGGGTTTTCAAGGGCTACGCATAGCGCATAGCCGCACACTGAGTACGCCCGACATACGTCCGAGTTAAGAACTTTCTCCATTAATTGCTTAATATCTCATTCATTTATGTCCAAAAGCTAGATCTGAGTTGTTTAACACATCCTAAGGCATAAAGTTGCTAACTTTATGTCTTTGCATGTCCCTTATTCCTCCAAAACCATCATTAAGACTTTTCCAAGGTCCTTAGCTCATGCACAAGATCAATACCTCCACCAATATCCTATTTGTATGCTTTTAGATGACTAAGGGACCTTAGATCTGACTTTCTTATCAAAAGGGAGGGTTTAACTCGACCAAAAGAGGTTTAAAGTTCATCAAAGGGACCAATTTCAAAACCCTAGTTAGTTCTAAAGAATAAAAAGGAAAAATGCAAGCTTTTTACCCCCAGAAAGATGATTATGAGGCAAGATCTTGAAGCACCCACTTGATCCAAGCCTGCTTGACCAACTCTTCTTCTTGAAATGGACACTAAAAGGTTACAAATGCACACTTTTATGACTCAAAGATAATCTCTCAAGGTTTCCAGAACTGTAATGACGTTCTAGGGCAGTGGAGGCTCTCTAGGGTTCAGTCTAAGGAGCTTAAGGTTGTTTATATAGGCCTCATGTCCGAGAATTAGGGTTTTTGATCCCTGGCGTGTATGCCCTACGTAGCTCAAAGTACGCCCAGCATACCTCCAATCATCCGCGGCCAAAAAGACTTAGTACGCTACGCGTACACTTAAGTACACCAGTGTACTTAAGGGACTATTTATGAAATAATTATAATTCTAAAGGTTTCAAGACATACCATAAATTTTTGGATGTAACATACATCATGCATTTTGGGTGGTACGATGTTCAAATTGGAGATTTTCTTGGTCCAACAAAAGAACCAAGATCTTCTAAATTTGATTCGTTTCTTGCAAATGGAACTTGATTCGTCATAAAGGTATCTCAAATTCTCAAATGGATTCCAAAATGTCCATGATTTCGATTAATATTATACGTTTTTCATTTTTGATCGATTTTCCTCAATGGATCAAATTCGTTTCTACCTCATTGTTGATCAAATTATTTTTTGTATAGATCAAAATCCATAAAAAAAATCAAAATCAAATTTGAATGTCACTGTTCGTTTGATTCAACAGAAAACCTAAATTCTTTTTGTTTATTCGATCCACCGTTAAGCACAAATTTCAAAAACTATTCATTGAGCCCAATCTAATTTGTTTTGATAATTTCTTTCATCTAGATCCAATCATACAAATCGATATTGTTTAGAAACCCATACCACAATCTGAATCTTAACATGTTACTATTCATACATCTGAACTCAAATAATGTCTGAACAGTTTGATTTGTTGTTAAATTGGTCATTGATTCAACAAAGTCAAAAGTCAAAATTGTTAGAGTCGAACTCAATTTTGAGATTGATTTTGAATCAAATGGTGTTAAAGTCTAATAGTCGAACTTGATTTGGAGGTCGAACTCTTTTAATTTAGAATTAGATTTGTTTGATGTTGATTGTTACGACTGACTCGCAAGAAAGGAGTCGAACGTTGAGGATAGATTCGATTTTGAAAGCGGATGGATTTTTGATGTTTGAGGAGTTTGAATTTGCCCTCGGTTACAACTGAGATTTGTTTGGAGTCGTTCGAAGTTGATTTTGATTTGTGAGAGTCAAATTAGATATTTTAGGATCGATAGGTCAAGTCGATTGCTTATGTTTGATGGTCGGATGTTTGAAATCTTGGAGAATCGAAGGTCATTTAGGAAATCGACTTCTAGTTTTGGTGAGTGTTGATGTTGATTTTGATTTTGATTGTTTTTAAGCTGGCAATTGAAATGTTAATCTCGATTTTGAAAGTAAAGGACAACGATTAGGAGTTTGCACACAAGATTTTGATTTTGAGAGGGTGTTTGGGATTGCTTATAAAAAGGGCTTATTAGCTTATTAGCTTATTTGCTTTTCCAATAAGCAAATAAGCTGAAAAATGTGTTTGGGAAATCAAAAGTTCTTTTAAAAATGGCTTATTAGTAAAGAAGGAAGAGCTGTTTTTTGAAAAGCAAGAGAGATGTGGCTTATAAGGGATTTTGGCTTCTTAAAATTAAAATTACCATTATACCCCCACCCTAATAATCGACATTTAATTCTTCACACCCACCATTCATTATCGTTCTCTTCCCTCTGTGTTTCTCTCCCTTGTGCGTCGTTTGCATCATTCATCCGTCTTCAGCCGATCTCCAGCCGATCTCCAAGACCACCGCTGCCACTACCAGTATCGACAACCCATTCAGACACTCTTCCGATCTAGTAAGTTCCGACGGGCTGTTCCAAGTCTTACTTCATCAATTTTCACAGATCTATTTCATAGTTGTGTTTACATAAATCTATTGTTCTTCTGAAAAATTGATGTGCTCATGAAAATTTGATGAAATTTGTTTAGAAGTTAAGTTAACAAGTGGATTTTTTTTTTCTAAATTGATGAAATTGTTGTATCAAGTGATTTTTTATGTGAAAAAATGTTTTTACTCCTTCCTTTGACTGATATATGTTAACTTCAATTTTATGGTTTGATGTTTTCATGAAAAATTATGAAATTGATGAAATCAGTTTAGAAATTGAATGAAATTGTTAAAAAATCACATTTAATAGTTGGTTTAACTATGAAATCACTTATAATAGTTAGATATTTTTTTTCTGGTTTACAATTTTATTTGTGTGTGAATTTGTTACATATTCAATAGTTTACATATTCATTCTATGTAATTCTCAGATTATGGACAAAATCCACATTAATGTTGTTGATTGTGAAACATCTAAAAAAAAAGTTGTATGGGATAATAATACCTTCAAGGTGTTTGGTGATGCTTGTGTGATTGAAGTAAAAAAAGGGAATAGGCCTACTAGTCATTTCAATAAGGTTGGGTGGGAGAATTTAAAAAAATACATGAAGGAAAAAACAGGAAAAAACTATGAAAGAAAACAACTTAAAAACAAATGGGACATTATGAAAAAAGAATGGAAGCTTTATGACCGTTTAATAAGGATTGAAACTGGAATTGGTGGGACAAGAAGTTTAATATACGCCTCGCCTGAGTGGTGGGAGGAGAAAATAAAGGTATGATTTACTATTTTTTAAAAATATTTTAAAATTATGATTGCATAGTGAAATCAATGAAATAAAAATTATTTGTGTGTCTTGCAGGAGAATAAAGAATATGCCAAATTTAGGGACACAGATTTGAGCACATTTGACATAAAATCCGCTATTTTGTTTCAAGATTCTGTTGCTGTTGGAGATAAGACTATGACTCCATTAAAATTTCAAAACAACGAAGAAAATATGGAGGGCGAAGGAGATAGTGATGAAATCAATTTAGATGACGATGAGACTCTTTTTCCTAGTTTCCTTGAAAGTAGTTCAAGTAAAAGGAAGAAGTCTAAGAATGCTTCCAACAGTCGTTCAACCAAGTGAAAAACTTCAATCTACGAGGAAAAAGTAGATGCTTTATTAGATGCCATATCAACAAAAAGTACACAAACTTTTCCTCAAAATAATCTCTCCCCAACAATAGCAGATTGCATGACCATTGTCATCAAGTTTTCCGGTTTCGTTGAAGGTTCCCAAGAATATTCACAAGCATTGCTTGTCTTCACCAAAAAACAAAACCGTGACGCTTTTATGTTTCCAACTAGTGATGATGCAAAGATGGAGTTTCTTAAGTTACTAATGAAATAATGATTTGTGATTTGATATCATGTCTTATTGTTTTATGTTTGACGTTATGTGTTATGTTGTTATGTGTTACCCGTTGACATTATGTAATCGAGATGTTATATTATGTGTTATTGTTTGTCGTTATGTGATTGATAATTTTATATTATATGTTATTATTTGTCGTTATGTGATCGATAATTTTATATTATGTGTTATTGTTTGACAATATTTTTTTTGTATGTAGGATGGATAGTGATGATTCTAATTCGTCTGACGATAATGAGGAATGTTGGGTGGAAGAGGATAGAGAATTTGAAAGTTTATGTGGGTTAGCTCTGAAAGGGATAATACTAGCTTTTAAGATACGTAGGCCATGTCACACTTCAGCCCGCACCGGTGTCATATTTATTAATGAAGTATTAAATGGTCATCCTAGACGGTGTTACGAGATGTTTAGACTGCATGTACCGGTTTTTAGACAAATATGCATAGATATTGCTACAAATTACGGACTTAAACAAACACGAAATATATCTCTTGAGGAGTCGGTAGGAATATTCTTTATGACTTTGTCCCATGGATGTAGCAATAGATTTGTGCAAGAATTTTTTAATCATTATGGGGAAACGATTCATAGGCATTTCCATATAGTTTTGGCAGATGTGCTTAAGATGAGTGCCGACATCATCAGGCCAGCCGCCAACTATAATGATGAAGTTCCCGAATATATATTAAACAATCCTCGATATTATCCAATGTTCAAGGTATTATCTAGTGTTCAATTACCTCACCAAATGATTTATTTATAATATCTTTTTGTATTTGTAGGATTGCATTGGCGCTATAGATGGGACACACGTTAGGGCATCTGTTCGACAACATGAGGAAGCAAAATACATTGGTCGAAAGGGATATGCTACACAAAATATAATGGTTGTTTGTGATTTTAACATGTGTTTCACATTGTGTGGGCCGGATGGGAAGGGACTGCACATGACACAAGAATTTTTAATGAAGCGTTATAGAGACCAGATCTTCATTTTCCATTTCCAACAGGTGGTTAGTATAAATTTTTATTAACACGAGTTTTATGTTTTTAATACTTGTTTGAAACGATCAACAAGTGTTTGTTTTTTTACAGATAAATATTATGTTGTTGATGTCGGATACCCAAATACCAGAGGGTATCTTGCTCCATATAAAGGAGCTAATATTCGTTATCATTTACTGGATTTTCGACGTGGACATATTGCTGCTATACGTGAACCTCGTGCACCGAAAGAGAAATTTAACTTTTACCATTCATCATTGCGAAATATCATTGAACGGACTTTTGGAGTATGGAAAGCTAGGTGGGCGTTATTAAGAGACATGCATGTTAATTACAAGTACGAGCACCAAGTGAGTATTGTGATTGCATCGATGGCAATCCGTAAATATATTACAAAGACCGGTAGGTTTGATGAAGCATTTAATAGGGCACAACAAGAATCCTACATTCCTGCACACAATCGTACTAGTAGTGAAGGTGACGAAGAAGGTCCAAGTACACATCGCACGAGTAATGATAGCTCATATATGGCAGCGATATGAGATATTGTTGCGCAAGATATAATGGAATTTTGGAGATGAATGTAATATGTCGTAACATATGATATTTTTTATGAATTATTTAGAATTTGTATTCTACTTTTGTATGAACTTAATTTTAATATTATAATGGTAAAAAATATCTTTCAAAAAAAAATATGTTATATACTTTGTAAAAAAACGTTTAAAAAATGTTTAATATGAAGACATGTCCTTTTTGGTCATTTTACAAGTAAAAGCTGAGCCAAACACTTTTTAAAAACAACTTATTGACTTTTTAGCTTTTACCACCTTAAAAGCTAATCCAAACACATTTTTAAAACTGCTTTTAGAAGAAAGCAATAAGTTAATAAGCACTTTTCTAAAAAAGCAATTTTAAGTATAAAAAGCACTCCCAAACACCCTCTGAGTTGTGTTAGGAGTCGATGGTCAAAATTGAGTGTTGCTTGAAGATGAATCGGCATTGACATGGCTGATGTTTCATTGGGTTGATGGTTTTGATTCGATTGTTGATTTGGAATAGTTTTAGGATGAGGGTCCCTGTAGTGAAAACGAAGGCCTGAAGATGATAACTTGGAGTTAAGAATCGACTGGGAATTCAATTCCACTAAAATCGAATCCATGTTTTGCGATATCGACTTGGGTGATGTTGATTTGAAGGCTTGTTGAGTAATATTTGATGGATCGATAGTTGGTCCTTGTAATGAAAACAAAGCAGTGGATTCATAGTTATTTTGGGTCTCTGTGATGTTGCGCAACGAAGTATTGAAAAATTCGTTGACAAGGTTATTGTGATGAAAAAGAGAAGGACGAAGGGTCTCAAAATTGTGGAGTCGATGTTCGAAGACTTGAGAGTCAAATGTCGATGGTGTTTGATTAAAAGCAAAGGCGAACTTGAGAGTCAAATGTCGATGGTGTTTGATTAAAAGCAAAGGTGAATTGTGTAATTGAAAAGTGAAGAGTTCAATTTTGGGTTGATCCTCTATGCCTCGACTGTCGAAGTCCTGTAGTAGATGAAAAGCGAATTGACTCACTTTATAACGAATTGAAGAAGAAAGCAATCGTTTCGAATATCAGCCCTAAAATTTCGAAGACATGTCAGTTTAAACCCATTTCGAAATAAGGACCTGATTTCGGCATTTTGGATGAAAAGAAACAGAATTTCCGCAATAAGTCCCTGCACTTTTGTCGAAATTTGCAGTTTACACCCATATTCGACATTGGGGTATAATTTCGACATTTTGAAGCATTGTGAAGAAGTTTCGAAGTGAGTCCCTATAGTTTCGATATTTTGGTAGAAAATACCCAATTTTTAAATTGGAGTAATAAAATTGAGAAATTAAAGATTTTAAAAGTTTAGTCCCTGCAATTGGTGCGAACATACACTTTATGCACAATTTCACAAATAGGAGATTGTTTTGCATGTAAAGTTGTTTTTGGCACAACGAGTCCCTGCAAAATTCAGAAAGTCACAGTTTTTACCCGAATTTTGGAAAATCTTGCAACTCTCACCAAAAAGTCAAAAATTTTCACAGATTGGAAATTGTTTCGAGGCTTTTTCGTGATTGTTTTTCCGTTAAGTTTTTCAAGTGTTTCAATTTTGGTACACGTCAAGGGGGAGTATTGTGAAGATTAATCATCGGGCGCTTCTCAACCTTAATGGGTTTTATAATAATTTTTTTATAATAAAAAGGGGGAGAATGATGGATATTCGAAGCGGGTTTTTCGGTATTCATTTTCGGATTTGAAGACCGGTGTTAATTCGAGGGGGAGTTTCGTGTTAATATCTTGAGCTCAATGGATCCTGAAGCCGGGACATCCAATCCTAACTTTGAGGTGGAGAATGTTAGGGTGCAAAGTCAAGCTTGGATGTAGAATGTTAGGATTACCCTATTGTATGTGTAAATGTGTTGAGTCTTTCCTATAAATAGGAAGTGACTGACTCACATTATGTAAGGAACCATTTGGAGAGCATTAGTTTTAGAGAGAGAAACTAGCATACCTATCTGTACTCTTTCAAATTTAACTAATGAGAGCTTAAAAGATATATTTAGTCCATGTGTTCTTGAGTTTGTATGATGATTCACTAGATCTTTTCTTATTCTGCACATACCATCATAATCAACACCATTACACTTGGTATCAGATCGGCTGTTCTTGATGTGATCAAGAAGTGATCCTTGGTGGCTTTCTAGATTTAGTGATTCTTCATTTTTTGAGTTTCGATCTTCATGTTAGTGAGATTATGGATTCTATAAATCGAATTTATCTTTGATTCTATTCATAATTCGAGTTTCTTCACTAGAATTCAAGTGATTTTTACTTTCTCTCTCTAGAAAACGCATTCAAAATCACTTTCTCTCTCTAGAAAATTTCAAGGTTTTGTGATCATGGTGGATTTTTCGTATGATTCTTGGATTGTGATCGTTGAAGATATCAAATACAAAGTCAATGAAGATAAATTTTATGGGTTGGTGTTAAGCAATTTGGTTTGATGGAGTAATAATGTTTCTTATGGAGGTTAGAAGGATGATCATGGAAGCTTGATTTTTCAACCACTTTTTATGATTGAGTGGTTAGCTAATTTTTTGTTGTCCATATTAGTCTGTAGTAGAGATCAAAAGCAAGGAGAAGGAAGTGATTTGTTCAATAAGAAATACATTTCTCTAATTGAAAACCCAAATGATCTTCATGCTCTTAAGGTTGTTGAAGTTCAAGACAACAATGTGATGTTCTTTATGTTCTTAATGTTCTTAAAGTTCATGATAAGAAGATTCAAGTTGATTCTCATGAAGATGAAAAAGTTTTTTGCTCGATTGGAGTTCAAACCGATGATATTTTGTGTTCTTATGATTCGTTTGAAGGAATGATTCCTTATCGAAAGCCGGTAATCCAAGAAATTCACAAGTATCAAACTCCAAAAGAATTGATTCAAACTCAGAAAGTTGAAGTTGTGGAAAGTGGGTTTGTTCATGAAATTAAATCTTCAAGATGCAAAAAGATGAGAAAGAAAAAGAAGAAGAAGATTAAACGCAAAAACAAGCGGGTTTACTCACAAAAACCATCAATTGTTGTGAAGTTGAAATCCGTGAAGCAAATCTGGGTTCCAAAGAAACAATCTCCAAATGTTTCATTGAATTTGAAGTCAAAACTGCTACACCCATAAAATTCAACCCAAATTTAAATTTTTCAAAAACACTTTAAATCAATAATCATTACAACTTTGTTTCCAAAATAGTTTATAACATAGTTTTCCCAACAATCATAACAAAAGAGGAGGAGCTGGACGATCACGCCTTATCCTTTCCGCGATCCCCCGATGTACCTGAAACAATAAACTGAAACTGTAAGCCCGAAAGCATAGTGAGTTCCCCCAAAATACCCATACTCACAGCTATACACATAGAATCACAAGCAGCATACTATGGGTCCAGTAAACCATCGGGTTGGAATACCCCTAGACCACAACCAACAGGTTGGAATGCCAACATACTTTGGGTCCAATCATCCTCAGGATGGAATACCCCAGGCCCATAACCAACAGGTTGGAATGCTCATGTACTATGAGTCCAATCATCCTCGGGATGGAATACTCACGGCCCATAACCAATAGGTTGGAATGCCTAGGTCTATTGGCCTCCACACAAAGTAGATAAGCCTCAACCACCAAACAAATATGTGCACATATATATAATAGATAATCACATAATAGTCTATAGACGACAACTGATTTATGGATCATACCACATAGCACATAATACCATCCTATCTACCAGGATACCGATCTAACAGATCATACCACATACTACATAATATTATCCTACCCTCAGCTACTCGCCGAGTTCTTGCAATACTTTTCCGCTCGTTGAGTCACCAGAATAACTCATCGAGTTCCTAAGGCTCTTGGTCGAAGCTCCATGGCCACTCTTCCGGTGTCCCCCTCGAAGCTCCATGGCCACTCTACTCACTCGCCAAGTCCTCGACAATCTTCATGGGACTCGCCGAGTTGTTCCTCCAACTCGTTGAGTTCTAGACTATCTTCATATGACTCGCCGAGTCTCCCAAGTGACTCGCCAAGTCCCTTCTATCCTTCATCCATACAGATGCTTTTTACGCCATGAAAAGGTTCCAGATTGTAGATCTAGCCTCCTTAGGCATGCTTATCATGTAAAGTTGCATACTTTACGTGCATGCAAGGCTTTAAGTCCATTAAATGACAAAACTAAGCTTGCAATGAAGTCTCACACTTTAGGGAAGGATCATACTAGGCAAGGCTGATGACTTTATAGATCTAGAGACCAAAGGGAGTCTAGATCTGAAGTTACAACTTCAGATCTTAGCTCAAATATGAGAAGTCTCTCAACACACCCATCCAAAAGAGGTTTTTGATGAATATAAGCCAAAGAGAAAAGTCCAATACCTTCAAGAGAATGCTCACTGATATAGATCTTGGATCCCATGAGTCCTTGTTTCTACTTACTTGATTTCCCCAAGTGTTTCCTTCTCCAAAATTCCTCCTTCAAGATTGAACACACCAAAAGAACACACACACTCGATTTAGGGTTTAAGAGGGACAAGAAGAAGTAAAGGGGAGGCTGGGGGAGGCCAATAAGCCTTTAAATAGGGTGAAATTCCCCGAAATCTAGGGTTTCATCTGCCAACTCCTACTTGTCGAGTCCGCTCATGGACTCGGCGAGTAAATCATTAAAACACGCGGACCAACGCGCTACTACTCGATGAGTACGGCTGCCAACTCGTCAAGTAGACCCAAAAACAAAAAATATTCATTCATAAATCAATACTAGAGAAGCAAGGCATTACAATTCTCCCCCACTTGAACTAGACTTCGTCCTCGAAGTATGTTGGGGTAAACAATGATGGGTAATGCTCTCGCATCTCTGCCTCCAACTCCCATGTCCATTTGGATCCCCTCTGATGTTCCCACTGCACTTTTACCAAAGGTATCTCCTTGTTTTGTAGAACTTTCATCTTCCTATCAAGTA